CCAGTCAGAGTGGCCAAAATGAACAAATCAGGAGACTATAGATGCTGGAGAGGATGTGGAGAAACGGGAACCCTCTTGCACTGTTGGTGGGAATGCAAATTGGTGCAGCCGCTCTGGAAAGCAGTGTGGAGGTTCCTCAGAAAATTAAAAATAGACCTACCCTATGACCCAGCAATAGCACTGCTAGGAATTTATCCAAGGGACACAGGAGTACTGATGCATAGGGGCACTTGTACCCCAATGTTCATAGCAGCACTCTCAACAATAGCCAAATTATGGAAAGAGCCTAAATGTCCATCAACTGATGAATGGATAAAGAAATTGTGGTTTATATACACTATGGAATACTATGTGGCAATGAGAAAAAATGCAATATGGCCTTTTGTAGCAACGTGGATGGAACTGGAGAGTGTGATGCTAAGTGAAATAAGCCATACAGAGAAAGACAGATACCATATGGTTTCACTCTTATGTGGATCCTGAGAAACTTAACAGGAACCCATGGGGGAGGGGAAGGAAAAAAAAAAAAAAAGAGGTTAGAGTGGGAGAGAGCCAAAGCATAAGAGACTGTTGAGAACTGAGAGCAAACTGAGGGTTGATGGGGGGTGGGAGGGAGGAGAGGGTGGGTGATGGGTATTGAGGAGGGCACCTTTTGGGATGAGCACTGGGTGTTGTATGGAAACCAATTTGACAATAAATTTCATATATAAATAAAAAAAAATAAAAAATAAAAATAAAAAAAAAAGAAATGGCTTGACTATTCTTGGTCCTTTGCTCTTTCAAATAAATCTTATTGGCTTGTCAAGTTTCATGAAAAAAAAAAAAAAAAGAAAATATTTATTGAAAAGAGAAATACTAAGTGACTTTTTTTTTTAATGTTTATTTATTTTTGAGACAGAGGGATACAGAGTGCTAGTGGGGGAGGGGCAGAGAGAGAGGGAGACACAGAATCTGAAACAGGCTCCAGGCTCTGAGCTGTCAGCACAGAGCCCGATACAGGGCTCAAACCCACGAACCACAAGATCATGACCTGAGCCAAAGTCGGACGCTTAACTGACTGAGCCACCCAGGCGCCCCTAAGTGAGTTTTAAAAAGAAGAAGATATTTGTACCAAGTTATTCTACTGGAATACAAAATTGCAAAATTCTGGTGAAGAGACAGTAATAACTAGTTGTTTCTTAGTAGGAGAGGTTTTGATAATTAGATTTAATGAAAATGGAACCTTGTACTCTTATTTAACAATAGAGTAGGCCAATTTAACTTATAAATCTAAGACTTACCAAATAACCAAAATTTGAAACTTAAGTCATAATTTTACTAACAAAAGACTATTTTTAGAGGGTTGTAGTAAACTAGCAAAGGCACTATATAATCAAAAGATGCTTAACTTTATATGAAAATTCATTGTTAAACTATTTGGGACATGGCATAATACCTTCAGCCAACGTTGCTGAGAGCCCACTCTAGGCCCAGCACCATAATAGGAGAAGACAGAAACGTAAATTAAGACTGAAGGAATGCATGGTCTAAGTGAAAGAATCAGACCTATAAAATATCTAAATTACAATAAGAAAAGTGTTAGTACAGTAAAGGTCTATAAGAATTCAAATGGAGATGAATTAAAAATGCTACTACAGAGGTAGCATAGGTAAGAATTCAGAGAAGGGTTTTTCATTAATCTGGGATTCTGAAAAATTGAGGAGTTCTTCAAGGAGTCTCCATTATACAACGGTATGCTAGGCAGAGAAAAGGAAGATAAGGAAAATATTAATTACATGAGTACTTTGCACCTGTTCTTGCTATATAACTTCTAGTATGAAATCTGATTTAATATTCACAATAACTTTTAAGTAGGTGTAGTTACGTAATTTTTTTTAAGACTAGGAAAAAGATTCAGAGAGGATAAATGACCTACCCACTGGATCACAGCTAGAAAATAAGGGTACTAGGATTAGAATTCAGGTTTGTTCAGTTTTGCAGTCCAGTCCATTCTCTCCCCACTATTCCAGAGCATATGAAAAAATATGGAAGTGTAGAAAGTGAATATTCAGAAAGAGTAAATAATCTGGAGTATGCATGTAATATGCTGGGGTATTGGCTAGAAACAAAGTTATAAAGGAAAGTTGAGATAAAGTTACAAGGAACATTGTATGCTAAAATAAGTAATTTATACTGAAGGCATTGGGAATCCATTGAATGCTTCTAAGCCAGAGCAATATATGATAATATCTATGTTTAAAAAGATAATTGGCAACAACATGGAAGATAAAATAAAGGAGAGAAAGAATGAAGGCAAGGAGACCAGGTAAAAGACTAGGACAAAAGTGTGGAAAGATTATTGATAAATCATCTCCCAAAAATGTACTAACTAAATGCTGATCTGGATCTATCAACAACAAACTTTCACATAAAGATAGGCATTCCTTTGACTGGATAGAAACTTTATTTCTTACCAGAACACTAAAAATGTTTTTTTAACAATAAAATTGCTACTTAAGTTCAGCGGTCTCTGCTTACTTTATGTACCTTTCTGAATGCATATTATACTGCAAGACAAAAAGTTACATTAATGTCCTGACTTTATCAGGTGGGCCAATCCTACAACCATAAGCAACTCTTAAGAGTATTATGTGCTTTAAAATATAAAGAAAAAAGTGCCAATGAACTACATTTGTATAATATATAATTCCAACGAATGAAATGACCTTATAAAAACACAAAATTTACTCTAAAACTATCAGTAACAGCAACAATTATTTTCATGCCACTGAGTAGCTGTTTTCTTTGTTGGAAAAGAAAAAGGTAGTTAAAACTCAAATTCTCTCTTAGAAGATAACATCTGGCATACTTGCCATTACTATGACTGTTTAAATGTTTCTTTTTTTTGTTTTGTTGTTATTGTTTAGTTTATTTATTTTGAGAGAGAGAGAGCATGAGCAAGCACAGCATGGAGCCCAAAGTGCAGCTTGATCTCACAAACTGTGAGATCATGACCTGACCCGAAATCAAGAGTCAGACACTTAACCAACTGAGCCACCCCACGATCCTTGTTTAAACACGTAAGTCCACATACCTCCTTTTACACCAGTGGAGATGAGAATGGGAGGAAGCCCATCTTCAGGAATTAGGTTCATTGCACTGCCAACAGGACTTCCAACCTGAGTTATACTCCCAGAGAACAGAGAAATATCCGTCTAGGAAAGCAAATCAGCAAAGTGAGCATTACAGACAAGTCAACACTTTAGCAGAATATAAATGGGATATAAATGGGAATTTAAGTGAAAATTTGCAATCCATACTTTTTGAAAAATAGCACAAATTTCTCATTAACCTGTGGTTTATTTCCCAAAGGACTGGGTTTATACTATGAAAATATTTCCAACTGTACAGTTTCTCTTTCTGGCATCATGAAATCAGAATAAGAGGCCTTATAGCCTGGGTTAAAGCTTTCTTTACCCAGGTCTTCTCTGCCATAAAAGAAAATATTTTTTAAAACCACAGTGGCAACAGAAACACAATTTCAATATTATCTCATGTATTATCTCATAATTTCTGAACCTTCAGTGAGTGCATTTGGGTCCATTTAAAGTCTCATTTTCATTGATTTTTAAAAATAGCTTTGAGAAAAGTGGTGATAGTTGTACAGCAATGTGAATGGACTTAATGCCACTGGTTTGTACACTTAAAAATGATAAAAATGGCAGATTTTACATTATGAATATTTTACCACAATAAAAAAATTAACAGATAAAATACAGAGATTAAAATAAGTCATTGTTTTCACTTACTATACAATTAAATAAAACTTCAAGTTCATTTTTCTCTTCATTAATATGAAGATCATATTTACTACACTATTTAATAAAGTATAATGCTACAAAAAGACATTTCGGATAGAGTTAAATCCACTTAACAATTTAACAGAACATACTCAAAATCTATTAAAATAATATTCTCCATATTCTATACAACTTAAGCAAAAAGAAAAAAAAGCCAAAGACTAGAAATAATCCAAATGTCCATTAACAGGAAAACAGATAAACTGTGGTATATCCATACAATGGAACACTATCCAGCAATAAAAAGATATTAACTTTTGGTGCACACAACATGAATAAATCTCATAGTCATTAGTTTGAGCAGCTAAACACAAAAAAGTTAGAAGCTACATACAAAACGATATACACTATATGTTTCCATTTACATGAAATTTAAGAACAGTCAAAACTAATCTATGGTGACACAAGTCAAAATAATGGGTCTACCATGGAGAAAATTAGGCAGGTATTGACAGAAAAAGGGCATGAGGGAACCATCCAAAGTGATGGAAATGGTCCTGGAATATACCCAGGTATTTTCACCTGGGTAGTGGTTGCACAAGTGTGTGTGTGTGTCTATAAGTTCATCAAGTTGTCTCTAAAAATTAATGCTCCCTAAATACTTTACTATCTAGATTTTATACCAGAATAAAGATTAAAAACTATTTTTTTTTAAATATGTCCATGTTGGGGCATCTGAGTGGCTCAGTCAGTTAAGCATCTAACTTCAGCTCAGGTCATGATCTCTCAGTTCATGGGTTTGAGCCCTGCATTGGGCTCTGAGCTGACAGCTTGGAGCCTGGAGCCTGCTTTGACTGTGTCTCCTTCTCGCTCTCTGCCCCTCCCCAGCTCATGCTCTGTCTCTCTCAAAAATAAATAAAACCTTAAAAAAATTGTTTTAAATGTCCATGTCTTATTATATTTTTATCTATGCTATCTATAATTTAGGATGCTATCAGTTTTTAGTGGGTTTTTGTTAAAAATTTTGCAATGTTCTCAATACATCATATAAGAGGAAATTTGGAAAATTTTATTGGCAAACCATTATTACCTGATTTTAAAGACTAGTACAGGAAATGATGCATAAAACCACCTTTTAATATCATAGAAAGTGGTCATTTGGCCTCTACGTACATACCACCTGTGAAAAGGAATTTATTTCATTCACGGAGTACCTATTAAGTGCCACACACTCTACTAGGCCATAAAGATGAGAAAAATATATTCTAGTCTGGCCCTAAAGATAACTATTATCCCAATACTTATCTGGTAAAATAAAAGAATTATTAATCTTAAAATGAAATTCTTCTAGTTTATCAGGTAAGTATTTTTTTTATCAGATAAGTATTAAAAAAGAGTGTTGAATAATGTAAGAGACAAAAATAAAATAACTAACTTGGTTTAATTTTGCAAAATGAGCTGAATCTTGTTTCCTTGTAACAGTCATTCACTAGAGCTTCCTCTTGCATTCAAACAGAATTTATCTTCTAAAAACCTATCAGGGGCTCTTGGCTGTCTCAGTTGGTAAAGCATGCAACTCTTGATCCTGGGGGTGTGAGTTCAAGCCCCACATTGGTTGTAGAGATTACTTAAAAATAAAATCATTAAAAATCTTACATGGCAACCAAAAAGTAGAACAGAAGAAAGTAGAGATGCTTGGTTGAAAAGAAAGGAATAGAGGGACTCCTCGGCCACCTTTATATGGCCTGGCCCTTCCTCATCATGGCACTCCCAAAAGGTCACCACAGAACCTGTGAAACATTGTTCGAAAATCAATGTACAAAGGGGGCAGGATTCCCTCTGCATTAGCTCTAACTATAGCAGTAGCCTGAGCTCACTGAGAACAACCTTCATGAGAATTTTTCCCTGAAAAAAACCTTCCAAATACATAGCAAACAAGAACTGATTTTGCCACATTTACTTCACTCCCGAACCACACACATACATCCTAAACTGTACCTGAAACCTATAGGCTTCCACAGAAAGGTCACTCAACTTAGAAAATGGCAAGACAGAAGCAGCACAATGCTGAGTAAACTAAGTACTCACTTTTAGATGCTGTTTTGTTTTCTTACCTCTGCCGGTAGAGGACTGGTAGTTACTGGTTTAACTGGGTCATGTGAGACAGCCAAGGTTCCTGCAGAGGAAGTTCCATTCACTGTTAATTTGGCTGCATCAGCAACTTCTCCATTAGGCAAGATCCCATCAGCAAACCAAACTCGCCTCTGCTCTCTGGGCTGAGCCACTTGAGGAGCCAGAAAAATAAAACAGGCATCACTGTGATATTGGTAGCGTTTCTAACATGAAAGAAGAGAAGGTCACCATTTCCAGAAGTACAAAGAAGTCACTATTTAGCATCTTATAATTATAAATATAAGAACTGTAACTGTGTATAAAAGTGGTTATAAATTAATAAAATACGAGTTTAAATATATTCTTTATTTCTATAACTTAAAGATTTAAAATACTTTGCTTTAAAATATTAAGAGTTTGTAAGTACACTTATAATTATGTCACTTATTCTGTTCCATATCACTGACAGAGAAACTAAGAAAGGTGTTTTAAGTGCCTAGGAAATAAATTAATCACAGGGAAAAAATATTTAGCAATAGATGTCCACATCTCCTAAAAGTATGAGGTTTCCGTGGGAATTAAATATCTGGAAAAGTGATATGGTATTTTTAAAGGGCAAAAGATGCCCTGAAGAATGTTGAAGAATTATTTACTAATAAAGGAAGAGTTAGCACAGATATGTAAGAGAATTGGGAAGCAAACTGACCAGATCTCTGGCTAAAGAGTAACGGAAGATGAAAAAAGACTGATCTGGCAGTGCAAAAGTGGTCTGCAATAGGGGAAAAGCTGGAAAACTAAGTCCGATGAAATGATCTCTTTAAATCCAATTCCAGAAATCAATTCCAAACAGCCAAAACAAAGAGAGACTAGGGAAGAACAACAAAAATGACAAATGAAGTAAAGAGAGTAAAGATTTTAAGAAAGAAAGCCTGAACTCATAAAAATACAAGGAGTATGACTAAGGGATGATCTGAAGAGGGGAAAACGGGGAAGAACATGATAACGTCAGTAGAAGTCTCAGATCTTCAAAAGGGGAGGAGGGCTATTTAGCAAGGGAAAGGGAATATTACTAGACAAAAAGACATAAAATTAATGAAAGAAGATTGATTTTAATTATCAAGGGAAACTTCCTGACAAGACCATTTTAAGGAAATACATAACTGTTATTTTTACTACTGATAATTTCCTGAACTTGCAAAGTATCTTTCACCTGACAATATCATAATCATAAAGATATAACTAAACTAGAATAAGTTGAGCCCATAATTTTCTATCATATGATATAATCAGAAAGTTCTGGAGTTTATAAAAGTCTATGTACCTAACAATATGTTCATATTCTTATTTGGATAGATTAAAAATGAAAAGAGAAAATGGCAATGGGTTTTCAAAATGCAACACTAAAACGGGCTGCTCCAAAGAAAGAACTCTCCATTTCATAAACTCCTACAAAGAACATTAAGTAGGCATGAAGCTAGGATTTTACAGGCCAACTTCAAATTCTGTATCTCTTTTCAAGTAGAAGCAGTGTAATCACTCCATTCTTAAGTTGGAGAGAGTATTGGCATATTTTTGGAGGTGCCTCCAAAATATCAGGTAACACAGTATTATTCTTTACTTGCCCAGAAATAGTCTTGACACATTTCTCACCTTGTTCCTTCCACTTTAATAACCACCCAAAGGGACTTATCTACAGTGTTTTAAAGACTTGTGCTGTAAAATCACATCAGCACCTTTTCAGAGGAACTTGGTGAGGAAAAGGAGAGAGAAGAGCACATGATTCCCTACCTTCTGCTCCAGGGTGCTTTAAAACTCCCACAGGTACCATCACAGTGGGAGGTGGAGAGCTCAGGGCTCCTGAGGCCTGAGCTTGCTGCAAGGGAGGGATAGTAGAACAGTATTCAGCAGGATTGTTAGGGTTAGGGCTCTGGCTTGAGGCACTCATCATGTTCTCCCAGGCTTGAGCTAAAGCAAATACAGACAATCAATGTGAATGGATTGCAAAATATGGACATCAAGACCTCCTCAATATTGGATAAATAATGTAGCTCTTCCTCATTAACACTCATAGTACTACTCTCTCTTCCAACTAGTGAAAGTATTAAGGAGACAGGTTATTTTATTCAATAAAGGAGACCATTTAGTTAAGTAAACTATTTGGAAGCAACAAATAAGAAATATGTGATAGTTCTGGTACAGACTAATAGCAGATCAGTTTGAGATTAAAGACTAGGCCCCTGGCTTCTTTAAAGGAGACCATACATTCCCTTAAGAGGGAGTGAAACATCAAACTTACTAAGGGTTTGCAGCTGGGATGGCAATTTAGATATTTGGGGGTGGGGGGGGCAGGTTTAACATTCAACACATTTTATAAAGTTCTTCAAAAATCAAAATTGGGCCTAAAATAGCATAATTCCATTGTATGATATTTTTGTTTCATCTACAGACTTTTAGGCTCTTCTTAGTTGAGGTAAAAATTTCACTTGAAAAATTCTAAAAGCTAACGCTGAAGAGAACACATCTCAACATTTTTGTGAATTCTGCTATTGTGTAATCATTACCTCGTGTAAAAGTATCCAGCAAAAACAACCAATTTACATCTTTGGTGTGTCTCAAAAGCATAGGACCCATCTGAACATGAAAATGTGCCAATATCATACAAGTGCCATCAACCAATATGAATGATTACAAGTGTGTTAAGATTCTGTATACTCTATAATTTTACTAAATATTGACATATCAACTATTGTCTTTAAAGTAAATAAGATGAAAGGAGCTACAGAAATGAAAGATACCAAATTTTATCTTCTAGGTTCAGGTAATACCACATGCTCAGGAATGGAAAATACCCAATTTTTTAAAGCATCTTTTTTAAAACTCTCATTCAATATCAAAGAATGATCCATAAGATCATGAATACTTATTGCCTCCAAACTTCAGGACAAGGCTAAAAACAATAGCTAAGTTCCTTTGAAAGCATTGGCAGAAAGAGGGGAGGAAGAGAAAAGGAGAAAGGGAAAAAGGGATAGGGAACACTGAAAAGCATCAAATTAAATATTCAGAAAAAGACTTCGCTAAGCCATGCGAGAGGAAAGACTGCTGGAAAAACCAGAAAAAGTAGATTACTTTAGGATTCCCTGGTAAGGGCATCCTTGGCTTAATAAAAATAAGTATTCCATATGAATCCTCTGCCATTTCCTTCATCTTTGGATATGCCAAGTTAAAAAAAAAAAAAGAAGCCATCAAGTTGAAAGACCTCATCAAATAAAAGAGGTACTGGGTACTATAATTAAGCAGCATGCTCTTTTCTGTGGATATATGTCTGAAAATGAAAGCAGGAATAAAAATCATCAATTGAACAACTGAGTGAAGTAACTACCATCTAAAAATTGACCCTTAAGAGTAGAGAGAATGAATTAATATTTTGATCAAAATTGTAAGAATTCAGAAATGGGAGGAAATTGGGTGGATCACAGGAGATCAGAACAGATCAGATTAACTGACATGCAGTAGTTAATAAGCCAGCAACAGGAAAACATCACTATGAGCAGCGCAGACAGACAGAGCAGGAGGGGTCTTGAGCAGATAGATTCCCGCCTCCAGGAGGCACGCTACCCTGGCACAGGCATCAACTTTTGTCCAAGTTCAAAATTTTATTCGTAATTCTTCTGGCAACTGTACAAAGACATACAGAGAAAATACTATAGCCTGATTAATTTTCTTGTATCTCTTTAAAAAAATACTTTTTTTTTTTTTGTAATTCTAAACTAAAATGCCCTTGGATTCATTTCCAGTCCCACAAAAGATGAACACTGGACAAGCTATATTTACCTTCTCCTGGCCATGTTCTTTTACCATATAACTAAATTCAAAACCAATATTCTTATAACAAATCTAAATAGTATTAAGGAGATTTCTGACAGAAAAATGAACTCCTCTACTTGATCTGAAATGCTAAATAATTTATTTTAACAAGATGAGTGACAACCAAGTTGTTAATAAGAATACACTTCAAGTTATTAAGGTATTTCCTAGAAATAGACAGCTTCCCTTGAAAGGAAAACCTCAGTCCAATTTTAATATTTCATCATCTGAGTGGTCAATTGCTTCCCATGCCCATCCCACTCCAGTCATTCCACAGGAGCATTAAAGCCACACAGCACCAGATTTCCACCAGAACCTCCATTCTTCCTGCAAAACTTACCTGACTTTAACATTTGTTTATTAAGTTAGGCACGGGGATTCTGAAATGCTAAAATATTCTCAAAACATGGAAATTTGTTCCATACTTTTAGTTAAAGTTGTGACTTTTGAGAAGGTGAACAACTTATAGAGAAAGGCAGGAAAAAACAGTAGTCTTTTCATTGGAATTCTCTTGTTCTGTCTTGGTAACTGTGAATTCAACCTGTTTTAATACTTACCATTCATTAGCACTGAATGGCAGATTACACATACTCTAGCTTCCTTTCTATCCATGTATAACAGTTTACATTTCAGGCTACAGCAGGAAGCACAGAAAACCTGTAGGAATAAGAACATATTAAATTTATTTAGGGTAACAGTACAAAGAGAGCAAACCAATATTGACCAACACTGACAGGAAACCATATTACTACAACACTAAAAACTTCAAAGGAAAATGCAGTTGAGGAAGCTGGGCCCCAAGACTCAATTCAAAAGCAAGGGGCGACTGGGTGGCGCAGTCGGTTAAGCGTCCGACTTCAGCCAGGTCACAATCTCGCGGTCTGTGAGTTCGAGCCCCGCGTCAGGCTCTGGGCTGATGGCTCAGAGCCTGGAGCCTGTTTCCGATTCTGTGTCTCCCTCTCTCTTTCTGCCCCTCCCCCGTTCATGCTCTGTCTCTCTCTGTCCCAAAAATAAATAAACGTTGAAAAAATAAATTCAAAAGCAAGAGTGAGATGACACGTCTGTCAGCAATAAGGAAAGTAAAAGTCTGGCTGAAAATAAAAACCTTACCCAAGATCACACAACAAATACACAGCAGGAGAAAAAAAAATGACTTGCCCTTAGGCAAAATTCCTATACACAATATCACATAACATGGGCATTTAAAGATAACTAACTACATCTGCTATCTTTGTTTGGAAAGGCAATATAGCAGGGTGAAATAAACATTGGGAATTCCAAGTTTGAACTTCTGATTTTTATTCATCTTATAGATGGAATAATAATAATAATACCAGCTCTTTTTACTGGTTTGCTATGAAAGCTAGGAAAGCTCAAAGTATACAACTCAATCATAAAAATAAGCACAGCCCTTGGGATGCCTGGTTGGCTCAGTCAGTTGAGTGCCGAGCTCTTGATTTCAGCTCTGACTACCATCTCACAATTCACAGCTCCCATGTCGAGCTCTGCACTGGCAACATGGAGATTGCTTGGGATTTTCTCTCTCTTTCTCTCTCTGCCTCCTCCCTGCTTGTGGGTACATGAGCTCCCTCTCCAAAATAAATAAATAGACTTAAAAAAAAATAAGCACAGCCCGCAGACAATCAAAAATTCATGAGGCCAATTTCCAGCACCTTATTTCCACCTTCCAGGGCTGGTTCTTGATAATTTTACTTTCTTGTCCCTTCCACATTAGACAACAAGAATCTCCCCAGCTCCCTGTTAAGATTTATTTTCTTGAGAAGTCATTAGTCATTTATCACAGAGAGCTTCATATGGGCAGAAAGCTGGTCCCAGTAAATTCTACTAATCCAGTTTTTAGAGTCAAGAAGTATCCATCTTACAAAGATGAATCAAGAGATGAGGTCAGACTAAAAACAAAGTGAGAGAGATCATCGCCTCTCTTACTAGGTATGATTAATATATCTAGCTACCATGATTAACAATTTACAGTTTTCAGAGGCTTTACATTCTCAAAGTAACTCTGCAACAAACAGAGTATAGGAAATAGATTATTTCTATCAGAAGAAACTTGAGTTTGGGTGGTTAAATGACTTGTTCAAGTCCACAGCAAACTGTATGAATACAAGCACTTTACATATACTATTTCATTTAACCTCTATGAATTCAGTCACTTACAATCAACAGAGTTGAATAAACAAATGTTAAGCAAAATCATTCAGCTGTACAGCTAGTAAGTTACATAGTAAGTCTCCAAAGGCTCTGTTCTTAACTACTATGTAATACTGCTACATACTAATTCATATATGGTATTTCATTTTGAGACCTGACTTTTCATTTTTCCTCACCATGACTATATCTCATCAATTGCTAAATCCTGTTGGTTCTCCCTCTTAATCTCTCCCTCTCCATCATTACTGCTGCTGCCTTTATTCAGGCCTCTACTATCTGAGGCCTAGAAGATGATCACAATCAATTATCTGTCCTCCTAATCTTCAGATGTGTCTTTCCAATTCATCTTTCACACAAACAGTAAATGACAGAACTTTCTAAAACAGTAAATCTAATTATGTCAATCTTCTTAAAAACTTTCAATAACCTTTCTAATCAAGAGGTAAATCCAAGAAGCCATCATTCACTCATTTATGCTACAAATATTTGAGCCCTAACTATGTGCTGAGCAGCAGACTACCCTATTAGGTGTAGCAGTGAACAAAATAGATATGGCCCCTGCCTTCATGAAATTCATAGTCTACAGAGGTTATTATCTAAAATTAAATAATTACACAAGTGAATAAAAAATTACTTGCTTCAAGAGAAATACATAGTAAAATAAGATGTAATCTAGGCCTTACCTAGATTGACAGGGTCAAGAAAGGTTTTATTTAGGAAATGACATAGATAAAATATGAGGTAAAAGTTTTCTATGCACAAAAGAGACAATAAGCAGAGGAAACAGAAAGTAGGTCCCATTAGGGGAAGAAAGCATGGCTCCATCAAGGAACTAAAAATAGTTAATATGGCTAAAGGCCCTTAGATTAAGGGAGGCATAGAATAAGGTGAGGCCAGACAAGACAAATATATGTTTCCACTCATGTGTGGAATCTAAGAAATGAAACAAATGAACAAAGAAACAAAAAAAAACCAGACTCTTACATACAGAGAACTGGTGGCTGCCAGAGGGGAGGAGAGTAGGGGGATGGGTGAAATAGGTAAAGGGGATTAAGAGATACAAACTTCCAGTTATAAAATAAATAAGTCACAGAGATGAAAAGTAGAGTATAGAGAGAATACAGTCATTAAGAGTAATGTACAGAATTATACAGATAAAAATACATTATACAAATAAAAATAACACTGTATATTAGTTATACTTCAATTTAAAAAAAAGAAGGCAGACCAAGCAAAGTTTGTACAGGTTGTATTAATAATTTGGGTTTTTGGGGCGCCTGGGTGGCTTAGTCGGTTGGGCAGCCGACTTCGGCTCAGGTCATGATCTTGCAGTCCGTGAGTTCGAGCCCCGCGTCGGGCTCTGTGCTGACAGCTCAGAGCTTGATGCCTGTTTCGGATTCTGTGTCTCCCTCTCTCTGACCCTCCCCCATTCATGCTCTGTCTCTCTCTCTATCTCAAAAATAAATAAATGTAGAAAAAAAATTTTTTTTAAATAAAAATAAAAAAAATAATTTGGGTTTTTAAAATTTTTTTTAAAATATTTACTTATTTTGGAGACAGAGAAAGACAGAGCATGAACGGGGGAGGGTCAGAGAGAGGGAGACACAGAATCCAAAGCAGGCTCCAGGCTCCGAGCTCTCAGCACAGAGCCTGACGCAGGGCTCGAACTCACAGACTGTGAGATCATGACCTGAGTCAAAGTTGGATGCTTAATTTTGTTTTTTTAATTAGAGCAGTGGGAAACCACTTAAATGTTTTAATCAAAGGGGAATCAGTGAAGCCTACATTGGCTACAGTGTAGGGAAAAAATAATGGATTCGGAATTATTCAATATATAGAACTCAGTCTAATACACATTAGCAGAAGGAAAGAAATAAACCCACATAATCATCTCAAAGCAGAAAAAGCATCTGACCAAATTCAACACGCTTTCATAATAAAAACATAATCAACATAAAACATAATAAAAACAGTCAAAAAACTAGAAATAGAAGGAAACTACCACAACATAATAAAAGCCATATACAAAAAAATCCATAGCAATAAATCTAACCAAAGATGTAAAAGATCTGTATGCTGAAAACTATAGAAAGCTTATGAAGGTAATTGAAGAAGATATAAAGAAATGGAAAGACATTCCTTGCTCATGGATTGGAAGAATAAATATTGTCAAAATGTCAATACTACCCAAAGCTATCTACACATTCAATGCAATCCCAATCAAAATTGCACCAGCATTCTTCTCGAAACTAGAACAAGCAATCCTAAAATTCATATGGAACCACAAAAGGCCCCGATAGCCAAAGTAATTTTGAAGAAGAAGACCAAAGCAGGAGGCATCCCAATCCCAGACTTTAGCCTCTACTACAAAGCTGTCATCATCAAGACAGCATGGTATTGGCACAAAAACAGACACATAGACCAATGGAATAGAATAGAAACCCCAGAACTAGACCCGCAAACATATGGCCAACTCATCTTTGACAAAGCAGGAAAGAACATCCAATGGAAAAAAGACAGTCTCTTTAACAAATGGTGCTGGGAGAACTGGACAGCAACATGCAGAAGGTTGAAACTAGACCACTTTCTCACACCATTCACAAAAATAAACTCAAAATGGATAAAGGACCTGAATGTGAGACAGGAAACCATCAAAACCTTAGAGGAGAAAGCAGGAAAAGACCTCTCTGACCTCAGCCGTAGCAATCTCTTACTCAACACATCCCCAAAGGCAAGGGAATTAAAAGCAAAAGTGAATTACTGGGACCTTATGAAGATAAAAAGCTTCTGCACAGCAAAGGAAACAACCAACAAAACTAAAAGGCAACCAACGGAATGGGAAAAGATATTTGCAAATGACATATCGGACAAAGGGCTAGTATCCAAAATCTATAAAGAGCTCACCAAACTCCACACCCGAAAAGCAAATAACCCAGTGAAGAAATGGGCAGAAAACATGAATAGACACTTCTCTAAAGAAGACATCCGGATGGCCAACAGGCACATGAAAAGATGTTCAGCGTCGCTCCTTATCAGGGAAATACAAATCAAAACCACACTCAGATATCACCTCACACCAGTCAGAGTGGCCAAAATGAACAAATCAGGAGACTATAGATGCTGGAGAGGATGTGGAGAAACGGGAACCCTCTTGCACTGTTGGTGGGAATGCAAATTGGTGCAGCCGCTCTGGAAAGCAGTGTGGAGGTTCCTCAGAAAATTAAAAATAGACCTACCCTATGACCCAGCAATAGCACTGCTAGGAATTTATCCAAGGGACACAGGAGTACTGATGCATAGGGGCACTTGTACCCCAATGTTCATAGCAGCACTCTCAACAATAGCCAAATTATGGAAAGAGCCTAAATGTCCATCAACTGATGAATGGATAAAGAAATTGTGGTTTATATACACTATGGAATACTATGTGGCAATGAGAAAAAATGCAATATGGCCTTTTGTAGCAACGTGGATGGAACTGGAGAGTGTGATGCTAAGTGAAATAAGCCATAC